CATCAAGCAGATAACAAAACAGGTATGTACATAGAATTTTACTATATATTTTTAACACATTAATCTGCAGAATCTGCAATAAAAGTACAGGCTCGTGGATGAGTTTGGGCACAACTCATACGTATATTCTTTTTTTACTGTTGTTCACTTCCCCCACCCCCCTTGACACTACAGTCCCTGTGGGCGTAGGCCTACCTCCATGAAGTTCTCCGGTTGTTCACTTAGGTATCCATTTAATTAATTTATTATGGTTTTACTCAAGTCTCTCCAGTGGCGTAGCATGACTACCGAAAGCAGGGAAGCAACTTTATATACGTGTATGTAAATTTTTTCTACATACCCTATAGTTTCTATCTTCTATTTAAAAGAAAACAGCTAATAGTTTAATATGTATTGTATATTTAAGCTAATATATTAAAATAACACATAATTATCAACACAATTTTATAGCCATCAAATGACAGGGTTGTGAACCTGGAATATAATTAATGCTTACTTTATTGTTTATAATTCAGCTCGATTCTTCTGTTTTTCTTGGCAAACAGATCAATAACCTCATCTAGAAAGCTGGGTTTGGACTGCAGTTTGTTTAGGAAGGACTTTTCAATGTTCATCAAAGCCAGTGATGACAACCTATCCTGGTTCTGCGAATTTCTTAAGTAGTTTTTTAATCTCTTCAGAGCTGAAAATGAGCGTTCATCTGCAGCACTTGTCGCTGGTATTGTTAATACTAGCTCACATAATTTGAAGATTTGCGGGAAAACGCATGATAACTGAAGAGCATACATATATTGATGTAAGTCATACACACTATCTTTTGCCATATCTGGGTCCGAAAACATTACTAAAAGTTCACTCTTTAAGGCAACAAAGTCAAAAAATGCACCATAATTTTCTTTTAAACAGGAAAATGCTTTTTCAGGAAATGAGGTTCTATACATGGGGAAGTATCTGGCATCAAGAAGACTCAAGAAGAGGAGTGTAGCGTTCTCCGAAAATCTAACAGAGACATTCTGACACACGACATCAATAATTTCACAGAACAGCCGTTTATAGGAGTTTTTTCTTTCTTCTCCACTCATTGAGTCAATGCGAATTCTTTTGGGTCGAGTTGGGCCATTTGAATCGAAGACATTTTCCATTTCACTCCAAAGGTGGTCAAATCCTCCCCTTAATCTTTGCATGTGATGCTTAAATTCGTCTATTTTGGTATTGCAAAAAGCTATATCAGATCTCTTAGTTTGTAGGATTTTGAAAAGAGCGCCAGAATATGGAAAAATTGAAGAAAATATTTTCAGCATGAAATTGAAATCGAAATCCCTTAGAAGAGAGAGAAGTCCGCGTGCAGAAGAAATTGTTTCTACATCCCATTCTTCTGGTTCCTCTATTATAGACACAAGAAGATTCTCAATTCCTTCTCTGTATTCATGCACAGTTTCAGCAAGTCGGCTATGGTACTGCCATCGAGTAGGTGCGATAGAAGGAAATCTTTTCCTAAGGTGGGAATCCAATGCTTCAGTCCTTTTTGTGGACTTGGCAAAAAAAGTTCTAAAGCCAGAGAGAGTAGCAAAGAAGACCTTAACTTCCTTAATAAAACTAGCAGATTGTGCTAAGACTAAATTTAGTCTATGCGCATAACAATGAACAAAAATGGCGTTTGGGTACTGCTCGCGAATTTTGGTTTGTACTCCTGCATGTTGTGATGCCATAACAGCAGCACCATCACAAGTCTGTGCAATGAGTTTGGGACCACATTCAAAATCATTTAAAATCTCAAGAGCATGGTTAAACAAGGAATTGGCAGAATGGTCAGAGCTCACGTCTGTAAAACGCAGAAACCTTTCTTCAACATTGCCATCAGCTGTCACATATCGAAGAACCTCATGGAAAGTCATGAAATGTCAGCCCAACCTTGATATCGCGCAGCTATTTAAGCACTTGGGACCAAGCTAAATAGGCGCGAGTNAACCATGACGTTTCGGAGACTAGCTCTTTCTAAGGGGCCCAACTGAGTAGGTTTAACCTTCCCTATCCACCTGAAGATGGAGACAGATCCAGTCTCCGAAACGTCGTGGTTTTTTGTCTTTTATATACCGGACGATGGGTGAAGTCCAAAACAAGCCAAAAGAAGTACAGTATACACCATCGTCAGAATCCTTTCAAGTCTATCTAAAAAGTATTTTTGCTCTTTTCACTAAACAACTCTTAAAAATATAATCCCATTTAAAAGTTTATTGTAAGGAACAGTAAATCAGTGTGACAACACATAAACAATATTGATACTTACAGAGTGTTGCCAATATGTCTGTAGTTAAGATTTAATGTTATTTACAAAATTTTACTTTACAATTAGATTTGTGTTATGGGAGATGATACACCACAGTTGCTCATGTAATTAATATATTTTCATACATTTCAAAGCATAGAATCCTGTTTTAGCCAGGGTCCATGATTAGCCTAGACTGAATCTTGTATTCCACAACACTGAGTATTGATGGACAGGATTCGAAACCACAGGAACAAGAAATGAGCAGAAAAGTTTGACGTCATATCCAACCTTCTTTCCTACCATCTATGAACGATAAATACGTTAGGTTCCCCAAATAGTACCGAACTATGTACGGCAGATATCGGAAGCGCAGTTGGTAACTTTGTAACCTCCTATTACGGCCACAACATCAATCATGAAAGTGTTAATATTATGGGCATCGTGTGGCCTCGTAGCTGTGCATGTACATTCGCACCATATACAGGATAAAAACTGAGGCATGTGTTTATCCAAAACAATACACATCTACCGGGCTCTACTGTGCCATTACTTAGGCCACAGACTGGTTCTTCATTACGACGAAAACCTAAAAACTGCAGTAACAACTGACTTATGATAATTTATGGTTGATGAAACTAGATTATATGTATACATTCTTTATAAATATAATGCTGTATTTTACGTCATACTGCTTATTCTCTACTTCAGCCTTGCAGTCCATAACAAGAAATGCTAGATATCTGTAGTGCCGCCAGTATGGGCACCCTGCATGGTCCATCTACTATCCTGACAAAGGTTATTCGTGGTTTTCCTCAACCCCTCAAAGCTAATGACTAGACAGTACGTCTCTCGAGCCACAACTGCTTCCTTCCAGATCCTTTCCAATTCATCAATCATCCTACCAATCTACTCTATGTAATCCAGATGCTGACAGCGCCATAAAATTAACCACAAAAAGAATGTTGGAGGATTCCCAAAAAAACGCCATTTGCTTGTCTTTCTGCCCAGGCATGCAAAAGGGAATCATGATGAAATGTGTCAAGAAATCCCAGCATAAAATCAATGTATTGTACCTTGAAGATATTAAAATTTCACTTCGTAGTCTCTTATGTCATGTGGTATTCTAACCACACTGGGCAAGATAAATGGATTACTGTTTATCAGACTTTACGAAATTACAACATGATCCATAAATCATTAGTGACACCTATGAATCCTGTATAGTGATTTTATAAAGACACCTATACAGGGGCCTAATATGATGACCTTACATTGATTCTTCATACCTTTCCCTACTGTATGACCTACTGTAGCTTCTTTAATATATTCTTATATTCGGGCCTACTATGTGACCTCTGTATAACGTCTGATATAGGCGTCTATATTTGAGCCGACTATATTTCCATACTCAAGTTGACTTGGATCCTTACATTATCACGAACTTACATACCCATAATATACACATGCCGGTGTAAAAGTTACACTTATGTATGCAGGCCTTTTCCTCTAGGTTTCACACAGAAGATGGAACGTATCCAGGTTTGCAATACAGAGGAACTTTAATACATATCTCAGGCAGAAAAGTCCTGCACGTTAAATGAGATTTCTGGTATGGCGATTTATGTTAACATCATATATTGCACCTAGAAATTTACTAAATTTCTAATAAGGTGATCTGCTTCACCCTCTGATGATAACAGAGATATTTGAGGCATACCAACATACTGACTAAACCTTCCACATGAACATAGTGTCATGAGAATTTATAAACATTCTTCTGTGTTAAGATTACTGATTAAGCAGGTAAATATATAAGATCAGGGATGTGAAAAGCAACTGATATGGTACTGACATGTTTGTTGAATGGAGATCGCCGATTACTGGGGTAGGCGGCAGTGTGCAGGTCAGGAGTGGTGGCGTGAGGAAATTACAGTGCTGAATTAGGCCTGAGGCCTGTCTGAAGAGGATAAAAAATTACAAGAGATGGAAATTTGTGGCAAGGAACCCTCAAAATGAAGAAACCTCGAAGAAGATTACAGTCTGGTTGTGATACCTATACATGCTGCCTTCACACTCTGGGTAGAAAATTACAATACAAGTCTTACAGTGATGATCTGTTAAACACCCTACAAATTCTCTGACTTCAAGATGTACCTGCCTTTCAAACATGAAGAATCGGGCACCCGAATATGTGAGCTGAGGAAATTCTATTGTGTCTAAAACATCTCTGACGGCGTTTCAGCATCAGACAGTGATATCATGATTATAAAGTCACTACATTCTATCCTGTCTCCTCAAGGGATGCTCTGACCCTCAAATATTTTTATGGCATTATATGAAACGTCATACCAAACGTTGTCTAAACATGAAAGACAATGCATACTTTACATGGTGTTTATTTTTTATACAAAACACAATATACGGTAACATGACATGACACTATTGTACCTTTATAATAAGAGGCCAGTTTTAGTGACAATAAAATTGCAAGAATACAATCATGTAATTACACAACACTGTATTACACATTGCAAACATACACCCTCATGTAACATTCAGTTTCAACTACCTGAAATAATAACCTCAATGTTATATTTCCTCCACTTCAGGTTTTAGTAAGTTTGGTGTTTAAAATCCACTGCACCCCTAAAAAAAAATAAACAGGGCATTTCACTGTATATACTTGGTGCCACAGTGTCCATCATAACAGATGTGACATGCTTCACATAATACAAGCAACAGTATTTACCAAAATCTTACTGTAATATTTGTTACATGTCAACTGATAACACAATGCACCTCTGTACTGCCGAGCAATCTGTCCACAAATGGAGCTGCAGGAAGGGGAGACAGCAGCTCATGCCCTAAACTCAAATATAAAATCTGGGCACCAAATATTTGAATCACACCTTAAAGCTGGCATAATATATGTTTCATTTTATAACATGATGAATGGATTTCATTTAAGATATTTATTTGTGAACAAAAAATGGCTTATCCTTTAGAAACCCGAACTTCATCTACACAATATTTACAAATTCAGTGCCTACCTAACAGAAAACATAATGAGTCTCTATTACAGAGCCAATACTGTTTATGAAAACAATTTCTGTTAATTTTGAGAATCATATAAAGCACACAAATACACTGTGTCAGCAAAATTCCGAGCTTCTGGTGTTAAAATAATATACACATACACACACACACATATACTAAGTACCATGCTTCGATAAATTACAAATATTGAGATTTTACGTACTACATCACTATGGCTCAAGGTACTCTGGCAACATTTTAAAGGCAAGAAGGAATCCCACTGTTAGTGTTTGAGTCTCTATTCACACTGTGAACATATCATCTGCACATGTCCCCATGGGAATATGCAATGTTGTCACACATACAGGAAATCATTTCTGTAATTAAAAAAATATTAGAAAATTAAAAGTATGGTCTTGCAGTTAAAAAGAACAGTGCTATAAACGTCTTCACAAAAATACAGAATGTAAGTCTATTATAATATTATTTAGAAAATTATAAAGAGAGTAATTTCAAATATCTGTGTGGACACTATCTTGCTGCTGAAAACAGGAATATTCTTTGAAGAAAGCAGTCTTCTGGGATTTGGCACCGTGTATATGTGGTGTTAACCGACGTTTCGGAGGAACGTATCGCCTCCATCTTCAGGGTAGAAGGGAAAAAATATAAGAAATCTGCAATCGAAGAGACTGTGAGAACCGGTAAAAGCACACCAGTCTGCGTTTACTGGTTCTCACGGTCTCTTTGCTTGCAGATTTCTTACATTTTTCCCCTTCTACCCTGAAGATGGAGGCGATACGTTCCTCCGAAACGTCGGTTAACACCACATATACACGGTGCCAAATCCCAGAAGACTGCTTTCTTCATAGTCACCGCCGTGAAAGCCTCAAATCTTACAGGAATATTCTTTTTTTATAAAATTCTTCAGTGTCAGAGAGATTTCTTCTTTCATCAGTTTTGATGTGTATCTCACCTTAAATTGTATTGCATTAATAAGCAAATACGTCCTTACTGTCTGTCTAAATCATCTCAAAGGGTACATTGTACTTAAGTAGGCAACCTTACTCAACAAATGTCCAGTGTTCAACAAGATCTTCAGTACAACAGTTTTGCTTCCCATAACAAGCTGAAAATAAAATGTAGTAACTTTCAATGGATGACAAAATCTGTGTCACCATCTGATGACAATTTAACCTCAACGATTTACAAAGTACAGCGTTAAATGGTTACATACTTTGGTAGATGCTGTCTACTTAGTTCCAGAGTACTTTCTTTTAATGAATCAATTTTAAGTTGCTTAAGATGTTATAAGTATTGTTGCAACAATGACACATACAGGAACGAAATCCCAAACCTGTGCTGAAACAATTTTCTTCACATGTTGTTTACTTCCTCAGGTTTTTCTACTGATCTGGGTCATCTACTTGATTCTAGAAAACCATTTCCACTCCTGAGAAATAGGTTCACCATGAAGATGTCAGCTTTTTAACATTTGTAAAAGCATTATTTCTTGTTTGATGCACTGATATTCTCTGTCAGATATGAGATCTCTGTCCATGAAGTGCCACTGACTGACTCAACAGTCAAATGTCAACAGACAACAGATGTCATACACCTACAGAGAACCATAATTATTATTTTGGACACTGTCCATCATCTTTGAGATTTTTCAGAACACAACACTTTGGAAACTGTCCCACCATCAGTTCTAAAAGACCCAACAGAGTAGGAACATTTCCTCTTACATCTGATGGCAGAAAACAGACCCAGTTTGAAGACACTCGAGATGATGGACAAAGTCCAACGTAATAAGCATAGTTACTGTTTCACACCAATGCACAAAATATTTAGACTTAACCTATAAATAAGTTTTGTCAGAGGGCAATTATTTCAAAATCATGTTATGATATTGAATACTCAAAATCAAACACTATGCCAGTGCGCTATAAATGTGATCTTAGGTATAAAATTGGCTTCTAAAGTCTTATTCACACAATTTTCACATAGCCCCTTAATATCCAATAATAAAGTAGGACTGACTCGCATATTTAGGATAACATACATATGCATACATTCTGTGCTTGTCTACATTAGCATGATTCCAGTAACATGTATACAAATAACAGTCACAACAATCATGACCACAGTTGTATATATAGCATACACTGACACTTTCCCACCTTGTGTTTGAAGGCTCCCAACATAACTGTCCCATGCAGGTCCACTGTTGGAAGCCTTCTGCCACAAACTTACTATGTTATTGACACATTACAATCATGACGTATGTTGTAGAGTTGCTCTTTAGTAGCTTTCATATCCAAACAAGAGATGATACGTGTGTCACATCTTTCCGTACCAAAGTTATTTTTTTTCTTAACTTTCACACAAATTAATTTGTATCTGGCAGGAGTGAGGGTTGAAATAAAGAGAATGGGAAAGGGTTAAGCACCACATGTTACATAGAATGACAAAGACATTTACAAGATTATGTCACATGTTAATAAAAGCTGATTTTTAGAGTTTACTTACACAGAATGATAAAATAAATTTCTCCTATATTATTTTAGAATACACAATCAGCAGTTCTTTACTTACCAACTATATATATTAGTCTAACCTAAGAATTTCAATGTTACAACAGATTGCACTTCGAGGGAGGTGGCAGTTTTCTGTTCTACGTTAAATTCAGGTTTGATGACTCTGTGCCAGCACATTTTGTGTTATGTCATTTCCACTGAATTGTGCAACTATCTGTTGCTTGTCTCAAGAAAGGGAACTTAATATCAGTAACACCTGCTACTTGTAACTGAGGAGTTGGCATTACAATATGACACGAAGTTACATCAGGGAGACAGGAAGAAACTGAAATGAACACCGGTCGAGAGAGGAATTCTGTGAGGTAGAATTGCACAAAGACTTCCCGCCCTCACACAAGATAAAGAAATCACAATTAAGTATTTTGTGTATTCTTCTGAAATGACTGCACTTCTTTCCTTACATTTAGAAAGTTTCATTATGTGCAGCTTCTCTTCAATTTAAATTCAAATTTCTTTAAGTATCCAATCTTTACATTTCAATATAATTAATGCATGCAAGGGCACTGTTCCTCAATGTTGTCATGCCACTGCCATGAAGCCCATACACAGGACTAATCTGTTAGTTACAGCAGAACCAGAAGATTGCAGTGTGCAGCATTACTGAAGAAAGGTACATCTAGATTATTATTATTATTATTATTATTATTATTATTATTATTATTATTATTATATTATATTCAGTAAACCTGTAATTTCACAAAGTAAGTTCTGTGGAAACCACAACTAGAAATGGGAACTGTCAAATTTTGAGTTGAATTTTCAGTGGGTATTCCATTATACAAATATATCAGTTGAAATGCCAACTCCCAAGACTAATGGACAGCCACAGATGTATCAGCTCTATAAAACTAACAGGATATGTTTTCGTGTTCTCTGTCCCTCACTCAAGGAGTTTCTCGGCACAGAATTCTGTATATGATACAGCTAGACATACGAACAGAACAGCAGTTTAATACAACATCTCAACCATTACACTTTCTATTAACTGCCAAAGAATAAGACAACCCTCAAGTGCCAAAAACTTTAGTAAAATGCTCGGGCAATAAGATTGCCTTACACATTTTGGTGCTATCAGGTTCAAGTCACTGACATCTCCACCAGCAAACTGCCAATACAACCAAGGGCAATGAGTCAGCCATCAACAGTAGGTCAGACCCCTCCTCTTGTCAGAGAGGAGGCCTCATTTCAAAACACACAAACAATACATCACTGACAACAAATGTCACAGCTTCTTTCTTACTGTACCCAGAAAAAATGTACACAGTATATCAATTCTTTTAGACACAGTTTTAAAAGTACACATAAGCAAATCTCCTTTTATTAGATGAGCCTCTAAAGATGGTCCTATAGCACTAAAACATATTAAAATTGTATTGATTCAATACTTTTGTAAAGTTGTTACACTTGAAGGTTGTGTTTTTCTTTAGCAATTAACATAACATTGTGCTACTTGTGTCTGGTAGACGTGTACCTAGGTTCGCAGGGAACCTGCTGCTTCACGTTTAGGGTAAAGAAGGAAGTCACACAGGAAGAGGAGGATGAAGAGCGACACAATCAGTGAACCAACAGGAGTGTTGTAAACTGAATGGAAACCTTTGGTCCTAAGTCAAGCCACACTTGTAAACAGGAATGTATAACAGGTAAAATGGATAGAAGAAGCAGAAATAATTTATCTTTTACATCCTATTAAAAAATACTAAATAATAAGTGTATTTCAAATAAATTTTCCCCCGAAATTCTCTCCAGTAAGATTAATGTTTTAAAGCACTGTGGCTGTCCTATTTTTATCAAGACATCTCTTTTTAAGAGATGCACAGGTTATAAACACTAACACAGGAAAACTGACTATATAGCACAGTGATAACCCAATATAACACAGTTTGTTACATTATGGATTACCGCACACAACAGACACAAACGTACATTCAGGAAAGTAACAGACAACTCTGATATGCTGTGTCTTACATTCTGGTGTCAGTTGCGGAAACTGAAAAGGATACAGGAGTGGAAACATGAATGACAATTGCCTTGTATGTGGTAAGGCGGAAAATGTCAAGCATTTTGTCTTAAGATACATCAACCTTCAGCCGGGAAGCGAAGGCTATTTGTGAGAAATGGAGGAACCTTCACAAAGAAATGGTTTTGAAGAGACTTTGAAGAAAACTGCAATAACAAAATTTGTCTCAAGGGCATACTCAAAGTTAGAGGCAGTGGGAAAAGTATATGACAATGAATCCTTTACTGTACATAAGGTAAGGAAACACACAGATGTAAACTGCCAAGACAAGCTTGCATGTTACTGTATATTTTACAAGGGGTCCTACCTCGTAACAACCAGGGGACACAAAAGGAGAATGGAATGTGCATAAAATCACAACAAAATAAAGATATGAAAGAAATATTCATTAATGAAGTGCATTTCAAAATGTAACTTAATTTATTTACTTCTTCATTCATGGTACAGCTCTGAACCAGGGGCTAGCCTTGTAAGAGGCTTTCTGAAATAAATTTTATACACTGTCAAACACAGGATGAAGCTGTATGGAGGAATGGATGTATAAATCCACATTTTCTTGACCTCAGCACTAGCTGGAGGTGAGTGATCAGCTTCACAACCCACTCTCTTTACCCCAGGGGTAATAATCCCTGGTACCCATTGGATAGGAGGTTGGGTGGACCCTGAGCCAGTCTGGATGACATGGAGAAGAGAAAATTCTTCACCCCACTGGGACTCAAACTCCGAACCATTGGTCATCCAGCCAGTAGCCAGTTCCTATCACGGCTGTGCTATCCCGGCTCACAAGATCAAGCAATAAGTCAAACAAAATAGGTTCATAAATGCTGATTTATGGATTATTTAATAACACTGTCAGTAGCTCAAGACAATATAGCGTCAAATGATAACGGAATAATAAAGTGGAGAGGTTGTGTAAGAAAATAGTTAGGGCCTAATTTGACATTAACATGTTTGCATTTGCCTTGATAGAACGTGGAAAACCACGAAAAACCTCAGTCATAAAAGTCATGTGTCCTGGCAAATAAACAGTCAGCATTTATGAGACTACAAATAAATGGTAATTATGAGTGATTATATTGTTTATACTTCACTTCTGCCTTTCGACTTTCCCAATATAAAAATAAAATGTGACATTATATGGTATTTGGTTCACACTGCAACATTTAATGTAAAATGCATGTATTATCAGAGGTGGAAAAACTGAATTATATACTGGCAAATACAGTGTGCTTCCTTTTATCTAATGAACTAGAATTTATTGGGCAAATTCTGTGGGTACTATGTGTTATAGAAGGCTTTCATTGTACCATAATTAACAATGCTAGATTACATTTCTATACAAACAATATTTATATTGCTTCTTGTCTGTACATGCGATCCAAGTTTATGAACGTGTCTTACAGTGAAATAATATAAAAGCATCATTTAAAATAAACTACAAACTTAAGTTAGCATTTCCATATAATTTCTAAACAAATTCAACAACTTCTAGTCTTTAGTGGTCAAAACCCTGTGAAGCCTGAAATTTGTCCCAATAATACATAAAAATTCAGTTCCTACCTCACAGAAAACACTCTGTATTTATATCAGAAAGACTAGGTATCTTCTTCCATGAGCATTTGTGGGCCATCTGAAAGAGCTATTGATCAGTATTGTGACTGTGTGGGGACAGATCCATTTAAATTGACATGTCACACACATTCTTGGAAAAGGAGTGTAATCAATTAATGCTGTTCAGAGAAATAATCTCAGTTCTAAAATCATTTAAAAAACATAAATACACTGTGGACAAAACACAGATTTTTCTGAACAATAAAGGCTGCAGTATACATATAGTAATGATGATGCCTGAAAGGGTCAAACTTTCTGTATCAGTGTGGTATTTCACATGTTCATCAGTGCCATTTTTCTTAAATGGAGCAGGCAATACTTTGAAGGGCTCTTCTTTCTATAGAACATTTTTAAATTGTCATAAATTACACTTGTACTGAAGATAGCTGTGATACCATGTAACCTGGTGGACATCACATCCCAGAAGACTGGTAACCACTGCACTGAGGACCTCAAATATCACATTTTATGCTGTGCTATAAAAAACTTATTTGATAAATATGTCGGACTTGAGGTTCTCACATACACGAATATGCAAAGTACTAACTTCTGTAACATGATGCTGTGTAGTTTGATGGAATGTTGCTGATGTTCTGGAGGAAAATACTGCCTCCATCTTCAGGGCTGATGATTATGCCAAGCAAACAGCCATCAAGAAGCAGGCAGAAACTAGCTTCATGTTTGATGCTTGCTTGGCTTATTCTTCAGTCCTGAAGATGGAGGCAGTATTTTCTTCCAGAACATCAGTGTACTTCCAACGAACTACTCATACATGGCATCACATGCCACAAGACAGTGCCCATATTTGACAAACCTAAATACAAAAAATAATGTGACCCTGAAGATGAACACATTTAGGATTCCACAAGTGCATTTCTTGATGCATGGAGCAACAGACATCTGTTGTGTGCTAACTCTGAATACCAGCACACAGGTACATCAATTCTAATTTCTTGTGCAACAGAAAGTTACATTATCACTGCAAGTGCACAGGATATTACACATTAACCACTACAAAAAGAATCATTACACAGTGCTAAGGAAGGGCAGTTCCAATACAACACAACATCAAGAGAGTATATCACGCTGTCAGTGCGTGGCATAACTCTCCTTTTTCAAAAACTCAAAGATCAATTTATGACAATTGTGGCAACTTATAGGAGCATAAAAAGAATGCTCAGAATCGTTTATTAAACTCTACATAAAGCACAAAATTCCAATGAATATCACATATGCCTTTGGACACATCTTGTGCTCTCCTTCAAAATTCATCAAGAAACACATCATGCGCTCTCCTTGCAAATTCAACAAGAAACACAGCTTGTACTCTCCTTGCAAATTCAACAAGAAACATATTTGTGTTCTCTTTCAATTAATGAGGTATCACAATCATTAAAGTTAAAAAAAAAATTGACAAACTACTAAAATGCATAGCCTCTCCTTCTATTCCTGACATCAAAAATGTGAAAACACATATTAAGCACCAAGGGTTAGAATTCTCCCCCTGACAGAGTAGCATGTAAGAAGGTAACAGATTTATGCAAACCAGTACGCGTAGAGCAGATCTGAAATTATGCTCTAAGATTTTGTTCTGATATTTCCCAAATCTTATCTGAGCACAGTAGTCCAGAAACTTACTAATGTTATCCTTTAAATTCACGCCCTGAAAAATATTCAAAATTGATTTCTAGCCTCCTATTTGTAAATGTGCGTGCAGTCCGACTATCAAAGGCTTGTCACTAATTTCTACACATAGTTTCACAACTTTAGAATTATCGAGAACCAAGTTAGCATAGACGAATAATAACTTGCTCAATGAATAGAATTTCTAGTACTGAATGCTGAAACAAATTTCTGCTGCTTAAAAATACGATTTAGGTACATGTTTATCACTGAAAACTGGATTCACACTGTTGAAATTATTGCAGAATTACGTACTTACATTCTCACGTGTTACGAAATCACCTTTTAGAACTCAACGCCTACGACGTCACTTACATTAGCGCTGCCAACTGCTTAAGTTTACTTATATAACTACCCAAAGCCTGTCAGATGGTTCTTAGGTATTTATTCTTAAAAACAAACTAAAAAATCCTAACGTTTCAAATTGCCTGGCCCTTTGGTTGTTCTAAAATGTTAGGCTTTGGTTTTTTAAATAAATATCTAAAACTTCTGCTGTTGGCAGTACTGATGTGGTGGACAACGCGGCAATAGTTTAAAAGTTACGTGGGCTACTTGTTAACATGAAACTACCCTACGACTGGATTTCGACTCCGAAAGATACATGGCAACATGTTTCTTTCACAATAAAACTATATTTTATGTGTTATGTTTTGATCTTGTCAGAATATTTATATTTCATCTTGTTAACTTCATATTTTGTACAACGGTAATAATGAATCTGGACATTTTGTTTATTCATATTAAAGACATCTAATTAGCCACCGTTAGTGGCAGAATGCATCTGTGATTTTACGCTATCCAGAATATAGTACTGTTATTCTTTACATCACTTTGCATCCAAGAGCCATAATATTTATGCCTAAATTTACAGGGTGACGATAGCATGTAAAAATTAAACTGTTTACATCCAAAAGAAGACTGACTACTACACAATCTCTTTTAAATTAATTACTGGAGGCAAAGATCATAATGGACATAGAAATACGAGTACAATATCATAGACCATTCCTGAAATACAATTTCTTGCATGAATGGAGGGAATCTAGGAATTTAATATTAAGGCTTTGTTACACACAAAGGATGACTTACAACATGTACTTTATTGATGGCAGGGTCACTAGATTTTGAAAGTGAAGAAAAAACATGCAAATTCAAACTCCAAGGAAGTTCATTGACATTTCAGCTTGTGTCACTCATTCTTCATGCATGCAGCTTTCTTTTACTGACAGAAATGGTAGAGAAGAACATCAAACATTTAAGCTGGAGGGGAGGCACATACATGACATTAGACCAAGGCAGAAGTTGGCACTGAAATGTTCAGAAAACTAGCTTTCCTGGTGACACTCTGAAGATGCAGTCTATAATTCAAAAGGACTGGCAGATGAATCTATTCATAGATTGTGATATGGCTACCTTCATTATCGATATTATAATGTAGAGCAGCAGACACTTTACAGGTGGAATGTGAATGCAGAGCTGAGCTGCATCCAGAAAGAGTAAGCTCAATTTATCAAACTGAGAACTGCACCCAGCCCCCTCCCGGAGGTCGCCAAATTCTCAAGAAACATTTAAAGAATTGCTGTATCCATGCACAGTTTTGTCAAGTCGGTAAGATTTAATATATGTGCTTTTAGGAAATGTATGAGCAAGGGACAAAACATTTCGTGACTATATATGATCACTCTATAACTTTGTGTATGTGCAGAGAGGCTGTAAATCTACTCAGGTTCCTCTTGTCACATCTGTTTTTGTTTTCAAAATCATACTATATACTAAAACATATGTTCATCTATTACAATTCTTGTGGAATTTATGATGTCTTTTATTAATTAATTAATTAAATGGCATGTATTCTTAATCTTCACACTGGATGCAAATGGTCAGATTCATGACCCTGCCAGGTGGGCCCCAAAGCTGGCCTAGACGCTGTGGAGAAATATCTCTAGCCCTGGAGGGGAAACTGAACCATGTGATTTCTTGGTGAGTCAGCCTGTAGCCTCGTGACTACGCAGACTGTGTTATCCCACCTCCTGATATGTTACTACAAGTTCCATATATGATCTGTGGGTCAGCTAAATAATATTCCACAATTACTTAATAAAGATCAACATTATCTGTTCACTAAACAAAATATCCACAGATCTAATAAAATTAAAGTATATTCTTACCTAGATGTTAGATATTTTCTAATCTCTAAACATACTACATCTCAGATTTTACGCATTAGTACTACTTGTGATAATACACACTATGGCCCTTGTTTCAGACCTGATGCACAAACACTCTATTCTTGATGTACAAGACCTTCAGAGCAGTGTTGCATAATATAAATGTTGCACAGAGCACACTGTGCATATTAACTTTGCTTACTCATTTAACGACTGGCAGCCCTCTCTTCCTGTTCTCTTACATCAGTTCATCATGTCGCATCATTCACAAAGCAATAAGAATTCACATTTTAACACTAGAAACACAACTGGGAGCACTGGGAGTGAATGAGAGATTCTTCTAATCTTGAATAATAGCAATTTTGTTTCACCGTGTGAACAGAGCATTGACTGCTGCTTGAGAGGTTAAAGCTGTATCAGCAAATATAGGTCATTTATTAAGAAAATTAATATGAGCATTTGTGGATGGTCCTGGCAAATTATTAATTCAAATGGAGCGCAATTCAATATTTTCTTCTGTCTGAACAAATCATACAGCACAGATTAGTAATTTCAAGTTTGTTAGTGCCCTCAATTCAAGAACATTAATTTTGTAATAAGATTCTTTCAGTCATTACACTGACGGATGAAGCACTGTCAGTACTTCAAACTTGTACTGCAGATATCAGAACACCAGTTACCATTTTACAAGAGAATCGTTCAGAGGGAGAATACTATTAAAGTTACATTCTATTATGCAAAAAAAAAAATCTTTGTTTATATAAACAGTCGTTGTTCCTTAGTAACATTATTACGATGCACAACTCAAGCAAAGTACAAAGAAATTTGCATAGGCATGACAATTAGAAGCAGGACTATGAACGTACAGCTGTACATCAACTTAACAGTCCAGTATATAGGCCTACATGTATATACTTAACATAAAATCATAACATGCTCTCTCAGATCTATATTCTTTTAAGTAGGCCTAGTATTTCTTTTAAACATTTGTGAAGAAGCATATGTTAAAGAAAATATTAACTTCAGTTTTGGTTTTTAAATGACAATTAAAAACTTACTGCAGGTCATGTCTACAAATATGGAAATCACTGGTTCATGCACCCCCCTTTTCCTCCTATGGGGAATATTCACAGGTCATATATTATGTCAAAGTGAATGTGCCAAATTAATGGTACTGAACAGCAGTAACACATCAGACTTATATTAAGGAGGTAACTATTTGGGAACGACAGTAGCAAATCAAAATTTTATTCAGGAGGAAATTAAGAGGAGACGGAATTCGGATAATGCTTACTAACATAGAGTCCAGAACAATTTATCTTCTTGTCCATTGTCTAGAAACCTAAAAATCAGAATATTCAAATTACAATTTACCTGTTGTTCTGTATGCATGTGAAACTTGGTCTCTGACATTAAAGGAGGAACACAGACTGAGGGTGTTTGAGGACAGGGTGCTGAAGAGAATATTTGGACTGAAGAGGGGTGAAGTGATAGGAGGTTGGAGAAAACTACATAAGGAAGAGCTTCATAACTTGTGCTCTTTGCCAATTATAATTAGAGTGATCAAATCAAGGAGGATGATCATAACTGTTCCCTTCTCTGTGTAGTCAGTATTCATGTTCATCTTGCCCATGTCACTCAAAGTTACTATCCTATGAAGTTCAAACAATGCTAAAGTTTACTACAAGTCATGCAGTCTATTTTTAGAAATGTATTTTGCAAATTAATTCTTTGTACACAAGAAACTTATCAGAGCAGCTAGGGTAACCTGTGTTAAAACTGCGACCACTGAAGAGATGGGTTGGTAATTTATCACTTTGAACAATATTTCCAATTAGTACAGCAATTCCAGTTAACAGATGGCACTGAATATGATAGAGGAAAGAACAGGCTTTCTGAAAGTCTAAACCTGCTGTCATTTGAAGATCATTTGAGGAAGTAGTGTGAGTTTTCTCTGTGAAATTGCATTTACTGTGGGCAGCCTTATTTCTAGCAGACAGTTCTGTGAGAGGGTATGCAAAGGGATAACACATCACGTTTCAAGATCTTTTCTAATGCAAACATTAATCATCTTTGAACCCTTTCCAGACACACTGTAATCACAGGCTTTAACCCATTATTAAAATATGGTTCAGTTATTAGAAATATATTAATTTAAGTGACAGAATTCAGAACAGCGGAGATAAGTATAACAATCAAATTTAAAGAACAGGACCACAAAATATTCTAAACAATTAACAGATCGTAACAGTAGAGGAAGGAACAAGATTCAAACGTGCAGCAGACTAGGAGGATCAACCTATTCCATGAAGGAATGGAATGTATGAAAAAGGAAAAGTCATACCTTGATGCTCATGATGACAATTCATCGAAGAAATGGTAAAGTTTATGTTATTGCACATGAAGACAAATATCTCTGTAACTGAAGGCGCACTGATGCCATATACAATATAATCTAGAGTTAGTTAACCCTCATCTGGATGTCATTATGAAACAGGAACCAAACAGAAACACTTTCAGGCACTAGGACCAATGATAATACAAAATGAAATATTTTTTGGTGGTTCTGTATGGGTGTGAAACTTGGTCTCTGACATTAAGGGAGGAACACAGACTGATGGTGTTTGAGAACAAGGTGTTAAGGAAAATATTTGGACCAAAGAGGGATGAAGTGACAGGAGGTTGGAGAAAACTGCACAATGAGGAGCTTCATAACTTGTACTCTTCTAAAAGTATAATTAGAATGATCAAGTCAAGGATGAGGTGGACAGGGAATGTAGCACGAATTGGGGAGATGAGGAATGCGTATAGGATATTGGTTGGACAGCCGGAAGGAAAGAGACCACAGGGACGACCAAGGCGTATGTGGGTGGACAATGTTAGAATAGATCTTAGAGAGATAGGACAGGATAGTATGAATTGGATAGATCTGGCTCAGGATAGGAACCAGTGGAGGGCTCTTGTGAACATGGTAATGAACCTTCGGGTTCCATAAAATGCTGGGAACTTCTTGAGTAGCTGCAGAATTGGCGGCTCCTCAAGAAGGGCTCAGCTCCATGAGTAAGTAAGTAAGAGGGATAAAATGATAATAATATTAAAAGAGAACTTAATATTTTATTTCATTCAGCAGATTCAGCTGAATTCTTGCTCTACTAAAGAAACGTGAGCTCGACCGCTTGGGGCTGGTACCCCAGTTTATGGATGGTCAGTAGTTTACTGAATATCAGCATAATAATTACAAATGTAACAGATGGTCATATGAGTGTTTAGAAAAGTAGGATTAGATAGTTACTTAATAGAATTGCAATAAAATAATTACAATTTAATTTTAAACAGAATCTAAGGGTAACCCACAACTAGACAGTTTACCCAGGTACTGCAAGATATCAAGAAGAGTGAAAAGAACGGGCATGAAATCATGAAGAAATGACTGTGCCAAGGAAACAGAAACTTCGGAATTCTCATGCATCAACCTGTATAAAATGGAAATGACATCTATAAAAGAACAAGAAGAACAGCTGAACAAGAGAAAGGGTGTTTATATATATATATATATATATATAAAGAGGAAGCAGTTGTTGGCTACCATGCAGAGATTTGCTTCAGTGGGATGGGGTAAATCGCTAGGGACCTCAACCAGGAAATGTGGTGGGTGCCTCTCCAATACAAGAGTGAAGTGCAGGACTGCACAATATGTTAAAATCCGGTATATAAATCATGACAGTGATTGAGAGATTGGGGGTGGGGGGCATGAACCCAGCAGTTATGATACATTCATCTATATGCTTCAATTCTGTGACTCTTTCTTGCTTCATTTCTTGGTGTTCTTGTAGTGTAATATTATCAAAGTACTTGAAAATACTTCTCGATTGTCTACATGCATTCATCTAGAATTATTATATTATTTGAACTTTTAAAAATTTAATTCATATATATTTGTATTAAACTTTAACAACAACAAAAGGGATTTTCTGAGGGGGGAATACATGATATGACCATCAGAGATATGCTTGAGGATTCTTCCTAATTCAAAAATTGATTACCTTATTCTCCTTTTGCTGAAGCAATATAACATAGAACTTTTCATGGGTCAAACATCACAGAAGGAAATTGACTGACTCACTGTATAAGGTTCAACACAGATGCTGCTTCCATCTTTGCTAGGTCTGACATTTTAAACAGACAGCAAACCTGAAAGCTTCCTCTTTATCTCATTCCACATTACCTGAACACAGAGGTTAGAACATTTAAAACTTTGTGAAAATTCAGTACAATTTGTTCTACACTCTATGAACATTCTGTTAAATTATGTGAAGAAATGGTTTAAAAATAAACGTCTTTTCATAAGTGTCTTTCTTTTTCTGCAAGGGTGACAGAAACTAAGATCTGAAAGTTCATGACGATGGTTTATTACACAGTGAGAGACTACTGGATAACATCCAGCATTCCATAAAGGTAGGATGATGGGTAATGCAGAAAATGTCAGCCATTGCCAGCTAATCTGTTTCAAATGGGCAACTGAATATGAACGTTAGTGGAGACTTATTAATATAGAACAATAAACAATAATTTAAGGATCTTGTGGAACATCTTTTACAAGTACAAATGTCACGCACAGAGGGATCTTTTTCTAGTATTATCAAAACAACAAAAAGCAAACATAAAAAATATCTGTATCAAATGTTCATAAAAAGTGTGCCAAGGCATTAATTTTGGTTTTATTTTGAGCATAATTTACAATTCAGAAGTAAGAGATCAATAAAGGGTAAATCAATAAAGGCAGATGTTTATTTCCACTGATATTACCAAAAACTGAAGATTCCAGATAGCTGTAAGTGTTAAGAGATGACACGAGAAGCTCATTTTACAGACACCATACATTGAAGATGTACAAAGCTGAAGTAAACTGTGGTTTTGATCAATAAATCTTGTTTTTAGCATGGAAAGGGTTTTTTTTATTGCTAGTGGGGTGGGACTAAGTCCTTTGTACTGCGGCCACTTCTGTCCTATTGTACCAGCACCGGATGATAGGTTAGGGTGATTGTGGAGCAATTGGTGGAATGAAGATTGGTAGGGGAAACCGAAGTACTCGGAGAAAACCTGCCGCAGCACCACTTTGTCCACCACAAATCCCACTTGTAGTACAAATCAATCACATTATTACCAATTTCTCAGAGTGAGATATCAAGAAAGCTTCCAGATATACTGACAAACGTAAGTGCAAGGATACAATGGAAACAAGTATACATTGCTGAAACAAATCAATGGGACTTCTCATACTGGCGTAACTGCTCACATCAACTCTGTACAGACACAGCTACGTAATACTGATTGGTTGAACACAAGGTCTTCTCCTCAGCCATCAAACACAGTGGGGGAGGGAGGGAAGGTAATCATGCTGTAGCCATTATTATCACGCAGAAGGAAATGTCACCAATATAAATCAGCCAGGCTGAACATGGGGAGATAACTCTCATGTCAGGGATCAGAATTTGATGAAACATTCCTGCTAGTGGATGTGCATTGGCTCAGTCAGTACAGAATGACACTTTGGGAGAGAAATCTAACTCTTATGTCAGGGTCAAAATCAGACAAAATGATCTTATTCATGGAGCTGCTTTGGTTCATTTTTTTGAAAGGAAGAGGCTTTGTTATTGAAATTATTATGTATGTATTTTTATGTTAATTTAGTGGACCTTACACCATTGTAGCTAAAACGCTGTGAAGAAATTCTTCAGCATGTCTATAAACTATGTACACGGATGAGCCAGGTGCAAACTGAACCAAAGACATTGACGTGGAGTGCCAGACCTCTACCCTGTTGACCACAGCAAGACTCTCTTTGCTCGTTTTGCTCGCTTTGCTCTCTTTTTGTAACTACAAGAATAGAGACAAAGAAATTGCTGTATTATGTTCATATGGCATCTGTTTAACCCTTTCACTGTTTTGGATTAACATCTCTGAAGCACAATTCCTTTCCTCACAAAATATATAGCACTGTAATATCAGCATCTTGTTTATAGAGATCCTTATATGACTTCAACACAGAAGCTAAATATTAATATATGTGGACATGGGTGCTGTCATGATTCTTCTGAGCAGGAACAGTTAGAAGATTTTCTTGTGGGCTCATGTTTAAGCTCTCTAAGACCCTTCTTCCTGATAACCATAGAAAATTCAAGATACGATATAGTAAAAAATTGTTTTGCATTAATATTTTGTATATTTCCTTTTATTTTCGAATTATCTTTTTCAAAATATGTTGGGGAGAAGGGAAGATGCCTGATTCTCCACCTATGAGCACCCAGGTATGTGAAGAACTGAAATATTAATTTTTTGTCAAACTGATGACTGATCAAATATAAGCTGCCACATAACCAATATTTGTATCTTTGCAAACAGTGAAAGAGTTAAAAGATGTGTGTCATTTATAATTACGAAACGTTTGCCTAAGTGAAATGTCCAAATATTATCCTACAAATTATATAAGTGAAGATATTTTAACGAAGAATTGTTATTTAATAATTTAATAGTTATTAATACTTCAAAACCCCATGTAAAAAATTAAATTATAAATTGAGGTTATCAACAAATTTAACAAAATAAAGGAGAAATACTAATAATAAACTGTATAAATGAGGCTGAAATTTCAGTGTACAGTGTAAAAGAAAATGTACTTTCTTTTCATGCATATTCTTATCATTCTTATCCTAGTATGCACTTGCTTCTTTTACCATATTTAAACTAACATTTTTGTACTGTTTCCAACCTGATACTTTTAGAATTTCATGCTGAAGAACTCTTAATTCGAAACAGCAGAATAAATGTTATACCATACATTCTTAAACAGATATTACTCTGCTCATGCTGTCAGTAATGTTACATTTGTTATTTTTAAACTCAGGAATTCTAACATTCTTACTAATGTCCATTATGGCTAGAAACAATTCAAAATATTATCATCTCAATGAACTGCTCACAGTTCCCAACCCATCCCTATATTTTCATGATATTATTAAAGTAATCAACACCATCTTTTGATCTTGTTTTATATTCATTTATCACCGCCCCTGAGATGTGTGACTGCCATGACCAGGCAGCGCATTAGGACACGTTGGGGGCTTCATCTCACTTGGCACTTGGGTGGTTACAGAGTGAGGATATTATGTTTTAATAATTAAATTAATAAAACTGGACCTTGAAACATTCCAACATCCTTGCCATATTGTGATGCCAGATATATGCATCTATATCTTGCATGATATATGTACAAGAATCATACCTCAGTGTCTACATACTAAGCCTTGAACACACAAAGCTCTACGCTTTAATGACCTTCACCACAAGGTGAAGGAGAGCAATGAGCTTATGCTACAGGTGCATATATACCCCTAGAGGAAGCACTGCTTCCCCCATAGAGTGGGAAGCTTGGGTACACCCCAGATACAGAAATCTCTGTTACCCTTAGGCAAACAGTCTCTACCAGCTCAGCTACAGTACAGTCTTAAAAACTTCTGGGGGACAAGAATATACTCTGCACCCTTAAACTGCATCTCTCAATGAGGAAGATGTCCTACAAGTATGCCAGTGAATCTGATTTGTGGTGCTTGAACACATTTATCTTTTATTAACGTGAATAAAATTTAGAGCAGAGCATGGAAGTAATTCAAAGTTATAAGCAAACTATCAATCATATATTGTTTTCAACCGAAATATTTTTGCTGACTCCTGGTACTGGCTTCTCAAACAAGAAAAAGGCATACAGCAAAAATTGTCCTACACTGCAGGATTGAAGGACATTTTCTGTGGCAATTTTGTGAACGGTGCTGGCTGAGAAGACCTTGCGTTTGTATTTATTTATGCTGGCACAGTGCCTAGTTGGATGAATGCTTAATACCACCTCCCTCTGAGCTCACCATCTCACTGCTTCCACTCGAACTAAGGGTCGTGTTGCTTCCGTATGGATCCAGTGAGCTCTGGACAGACATCGAGCGACCTTGTCCTGAACGCCTCACTCTATTGGGGGAGAGCTTGGCGGGGTCGACACTTGTTGGGTCTGCCTGCAATAAACAGCGTTCTTGTAGGAAAAAAGGATGAATGTTACAGCTTCTGCTGCTTGCCCCTACTGCTAGGGAAGTGATACAAGTCAACTGTTTCATAAAAGAAATCCAATAGACATAAATATTACTTTGGACACAGTCCATTGCCTTCAGTATTTCCAACAAGAAAAAACATTTAGGAAACTGGATCTGTTTCCAACATTATGTGAAACACTGGCAATTTACTTCTGTTTTCCCCCATTTCATTTTTGAGAAATATTCAGGACTCACTGTTCGTACATTACTTGTTCTACAGTTATTATGAGAGCCACAAAATATTTATGTTTCAATTTTCAATATCTGTTTTGAGCCTGACAGCAGACACATTTTAAAATATGCATTATATAAAATAACAAATATCACAATTTATTTCTGCAGTATTTAAAATAATCTATCAGTGTAATTTAACTTTAAACATGGCCAAGATCATGGATAGTTAATGTCACTAAGTATTACTGTGTTCATTTTAACTTGGGGTTCATTTCATACAGAATATTAATTTCACATTTGTCTGTGATTAAAATCACAAGTATTGATTATATGAGAAACATCAATTCATGATGTATTGACCATCTGTAATTTTACCTCTTTCTACTAACTGTGTGAAATATACAATTCTTCCACTACTCAGTTTACTACAAATGCATTGAGGAAACCCAATTATCTTGCAAAGTACTTTGTAGCAGGTGAGAAACATAACAATAGTGGACCATTTCTCTCATGTAAACAACAACTGAATAAAGCCACTCTTTTCATATGATAACTGAATAATGTATTAAAGTGTGCATGGGGCATAATCCCACATTTCTGACTGTTCTTCCTAGCATTAGGTCCATTTAAATTGTTACAGGAATCAGAAAACAGCATTCCTCAATTTTTTAAGCACTTCATAGGCATCATTTTTCATATGTGACATTATTTTCTATTCGAGGGGGGGGGCTTCACCTCATCCAATTAATTCTTAAGATTAAGGTTCATTATTATAACCATACAGTTATTGAGATTAAATTAAAATTCACCAAGTTATAATACTGTTGACTGCATATTTAATCTACCTGAATGACAGTTTAAAGGTACCAAAAGTTGGCAAGATGTCTGATAGTTATGAGAGAACACAGCAGTTCAGTGCGTACAGAGCTCAAAACTTCACCAGTTCAATGGTTGCCAAAATGTGCACTTGATATAATAACAACTACAAAGATTTATGTGGCATAGTTAATTTCACTGAATTAGAAAGTTATACAAGATGTGACAAATGTAGCCGTTGATGAAAATTGTTTCTGGCTCATTTAATAACATTTTGACAAGTGCATTTTTCACATATCATCAAGAGGCAGGATGATGACAGAGAATGAACTTGTAAAGGATATGGAAGGATGTGATTATGGATGTTTTGTAAAGCAAAATATCTCAGCAATCTGAATATTTACACTGGAGAGAGGTATGAAAACCCTCAATCACCACTACCAATGCAGATATTTTGAAATGGAAACTCTGAAATACAAAGAGGAAGTACTACAGAGTTCAGTAATCCTTTTGAAGCAGATATGCAGTTACAACAGTCAACATTATACCAGCTAGCAACACTTGCCATGTGAGTAGATAAGGCAGGCAGCTGAATTTCCCCATGTGAATAGAGAAAGCAGATAGCTGCAGTTACTACACTGTCATACACGCGTGGATAAAGCAGCTAGTTGAACTATCATGATACATGATCATGCCATGACTTAATGAATGGAATGCTCTGCATCACCTGGTAGGCCAGGGCATTCATGATAATGCTGTATGGAACTAGACCAAGTGGGTGGACCTCCCTCATCAGCACATTTGCAGGAATCTTGTGAAACTGGATGTACTCCAAGAAGTTGCCAATCACATCCTTCAGAGCTGTGTTTGGATTGCTGTCACAATACTTCTTGCCCCACATCAGAGCTGCCTGAAAACACAAAAACACACATAGAATTAGTACAAATAATATCGAAGAAACTGGTTCAGATTTACAAGTAATAATGCTGCAATACGTAACTCTCCTGTCAGTTCCCTGTCTCCTACTAGACTTAACGAAGATCATCCAAACATATTATGAAACTTATTTTGTATTCTTGATAATATACATGGCAACCACAGATGCTAAAGCAGTGTGCAGATACTGAAATACAGTTTTAGATGAGATTCAAATCCTCATTCTCAAACATTGTCTTTATCTACATGACCAAACCATGACATCTTAATTGGAGTGTTTATCCTTCTTCTCATTTTAGCTTTTTACTGTCCTATGGACACGGAAAGCAACCATATCGAAGGCGAAAAGCAGGTATTTCTGTTACTTGGAGACAAAAAATGTGTTCTTGATGTTACAGTTAAAAATATAAAACATGATTTACTGTATTTAGTAAAAGACAATTATATCAGAAACTGACCTTAATGAAAGTTATATATCTTTTGTGATCTACATTGTCCTTTACAGAAGCAAAATATTTGTTACATATCTGATTAGCTTGATTTAAGCTTCTAAACACTGCAGGGCAAGAATAGGTTGGGAAATTTAATAAGATTATAAATGGGTATATTCACAATAAACATATGTTTGAAATCTTATGCATATTGATATGGGAGCAGGGACAGCTGAACTGATATAGTGACTAGGCTACAGGATGGATGACCAAGAACTGGAGTTCGATATTCAGCATGTCCAGCGGCCCTCTCTTCTCCACAGTGCCCACACTGGCTCTGGGGCCCAGCCAGCCTGATATCCAACAGGTAACTGAAGGTTTTCCCTTGGAAAGTGTTGCTGAGGTGAGAAACTGATTACACATCTGTATCTAATGCTGAGGTCAGGAATTCGTGTAGCAGTACCTTCACTCCCTCAGACATCTGCAAGGCATGGGCCAACTTATCCTTACTGATATGCAGCAATCAAATTTATCACACTACAAACACACAGCCCCTCTCTCACACACACACAAAGTAGTAGCAGCATCTCTGTTCACAGCCAAAGTGAATTAACTGCTATCTGTCCTGACCTGGAACTTGGTGAACTCATCAGCTCTGAGTTCATCTCTTGCCAATATGAGACGTACCACATGTTGCGGCAGCAACGTAAAGGATCCCAGGTTCAGAACCTCATTACCATGCTCATCAACAAATTCCAAGACCTGTAACAGGAGTGTTACAGATGTAAGTATAACATGAGTCTCTGGAAACATACAAAAAAATCGATATTCTCATTGCAGTGACACAGATTAGTCTCTTCTTTCATATGATGCTGTGTAACTGGGTAGATAGGTATCAGTGTTTTAGAGAAACATGCTGCCTCCATCTTTTGGGCAGAACAGGAAACAAAGTAGCTTGACTTTCTTCATTTCTTGGCTGTGGAGACAGACAGTCTCCAACACACTGGATACTAACTCCACTTGCACACAGCCGATCAACCAAGATGACTTCAATGCATCCAATTAACATGAAAGCTTCAACTCATTCAGATTTACTGAGCAATATGGCTCAAGCAGTAACTCAGTAACTCTTCTGACTTGTATTCAGGAGGCATCCAGTTTGAATCTCAGCCATGATACTTAACTATCTTAACTGACATCTTTCGTGGACTTCCTCAGTTCCTACAGGCATATTCCAAGATACTACATCAATATTAGGTCTTCCAACATTTCTTTTGCACATATTCAAATTCATTAAAACATAATGTGACCCAAACAGCGGATGACACTAAACAATCCTATCCCTCAAACAACGGAACCACAACATGGTAGACACTCAACTTCCTTTAAGGAGAGGCGGTATAAAGAACACGGACCAAATTAGTTCTAAATTTTAACAAAGTATTTTTAAACCACACTTGTAAACAGACTAATTGTAATAATTTATAAATATTTTAATGTATTCATGTACATCGCTGTAGTTGCTGAAGGGTCAGATTTTGTATCCATGGCATCGTAATGATAGTGTCTGTATGTATTGATATTGACCAATCACATCGTAATAGTAGTTTCCACATGTATTGATACGTCCTTCTGAAGATGGTCACTCTGACCGAAACATGTAAAGGATGAAAGATAAAAAAGGAGAAAAAAAAGCATTTATCAGTCACACTGGATGAAGCTGATAAAATTTTTCAAATTTATTATTCACTATCATTCAATCATTTGATGCTACTGACAGTGTCAACAAATAAATAAACCTATAGAAATTCCTTCTACATCCCTCTGGTATTATTGTAAAGGCAACAGTAAGCACAAATATTGGAATTACTCTTATTAGGAGCCATATGTCAAGAGTAGATGTTTGTTACCTTCTGAACCAGTGACTTGGTGCATTTGTACTGAATGTAGCGTTCAGCAGAGGCAAGAAGGGCACAGACTGTGTCGACATTAATGCAGCACTGCACAAACCCAGCACAGGCTCTGCGCAGCTCATCGAGGCCATAATAGTCTGCTGCATTCATTACTCCTATAACAAGCACAGTGTGCTGTCAACTGAAGTGGCTTCTAAATAAATAAGATGTACAAAACTGATAGATCTCTGGCAGCATAGATTCAACCCCACTAATACAAACGCCCACCATGAGATATGATTCTGAACCAGTTCCATCCACGTTCCATACTCACAACCTATTTCCTTAAGATCCATCTCACTAATTAAGCAACTCTCTGGTAGCAGAACCAGAAGGTTCAACACTGCTAATACTAAATTCTGCCACTGGATGCAGCCCTCAGCCAGTTCCATGCTTTCCCTATCCTCACAATCTATTTCCTTAAGATCTCGCTTACCAATTAATCAGTTCCCTGACAGCAAAACCCACAGGTTCAGCATCACTAACACCAAAGACTGTAATTGAACAGAATACTGTGCCAGTTCCATGCACCATGACTTTAACAGCAAATGATTAATATGAAAGAGACTCAATGAAAGATCAATCTACAGAGGTGGTACAAAATTAACTTAAACTTTACTCTCTTCCTGAACATATGGGCACCAGAAGAATTAAACTAATTTATGGACAGCTTCACTACCTAGCACATGGCCATGCACTTTGCTTCTGGACATTATAGCTAGTAGAAGATGATGTCACAGCTTATCAGTCCTAGTGTAGAACAATGCTCTCTCATTAAATTCCTAGTGAATGAGAGAGTGAAATGGGCAGATATTTCTTCATGACTAAATGCAGAGTACAATGAAGAGATCCTGTCACGTGTCAGTGGCTGTGATTGTTGCAATAAGATTCTGAAAGCCCAAGTTTTCAAGACACAGCTGTTAGCTAGCAATATGATGGAAAGTGTATTTTGTGATTTGGAACAAGTGATTCATGTGATTTTCTTCCACTCAGTGTAACACTTAATGCACAGTATTATAGCAAACTGCATCATGATGTGCACTAATTGATTTGGAAGAAAAGACCTGGGAATCTGTCAAAGAAAATCATTCTATTGCATGACAAAAATCATCCACATGCAGAGAATTTGATGAAGGCAACAACAGCAACAGGAGGCTAGGAAATCTAGGAAAACCATCAAACCATCCTTGCAGCCCTAATTTGACTTACAGCGATTTTTATTTGCTTGGCCCATTCATATTCATATTTATTTCAAGTTCAGTTGATCCATACATGAGTTGAAAGTACAAACTGTTGGATATAGAACGTGTCACAAAGTAAATACTAGTCTAAGTTCCCAATCATTGGAACAGAGTCAAAATACCCGATAAGAACGATATATGATACAGTACACACATTATTAAAATTTCATTTAAATACAATAAGATAAAACCATAAATTAAAAGTACCAGTAACATATGTATTCAACAATGACTTTAACATGAAGTATAAAAAAAA